GGAATGAGCTGGTTACCACTATCAGATCTGTCAAAGAGCCCTAAAAGAAGATTTGAAGAACAGTTGCAAAGAAACAAGCTCCTTTCTTAAGCCATTAGAAAAATGTAAAGCTTGATTAAAAAATAAAACAAAATAAAGTACTATGACTAAGGAATCACTGAGGTTCGATTGTAAACATTCTAAAGTTTATTCTCATAGCAGTGCCATTTGCCTTAAAGACTGAATAGCTTGAAGGCCTGTCTTGACTCTGTACAAGGTCAAGACCTGTGCTCTCAAAATCGCTTCCGCTACTCATCAGGCACATCATGACGTGAGGCAAAACTAAACTGAGAGGCAACATGACTTTCAGCTCCTGCTTCATTTACTTTTAACTCTTCAAAACCCTACATAGGGAGGCCTAGATTTCTTAGGCAGACACTTTCTCTTTAGGCCTCAGGATACTGTCTAGCCACACAGACCAGTCAGCTTTCATGAAGATCACAGACAGGAGAGTCCAGGGCAGCATTTCCTCTAGGCAGCCTCCCTTACCTGCTGGGCCCAAGCCTCTGGGGCCACAAGCCTGTGAACCCCTCAGCGCTGCTATGAGAAGGCAAAGCACAAGCCATTTATAGTGGGAAGCAGTGGCTGATACCAGTAATGATAACCTTGAACTTTAACTCTGGCTCTTGGAGTAAGACACCAACCGTGTAAGGATGTTTTAGTTTGGCCATTTAATGAACACAAAGCATGTGTTAAAAGGGGCAACCTCTTCAGAAAATGAATTTATGTGGCATATTAGATACGTCTCAAATAAACTAATGGAAAAACTAGGAAGGAGCCTTGAATGCTATGCTATTTCCAAAGAGGGGCGTTTCTATATCACATAGACTCAGACCAACAGTGGCTTCTGGAGCTGAGTTCAAATGCTGGGTACAGTGAGATATGAGCCTGGGCCTGGGGCTCTGGGGAAATGGAGAGAAGCCCAAGGGCAGGGCTCTTGTTGTCACTGTCAGGTGCAGGGTGAAGTTGTGTGGGTGTGTCCCACAGTTCACTGTCACCGTAACAGTGTGTCACCGACAGGAGGCTTTCCATGTCCCACACGCTCTTCCAAGACAGACATTTGTTTTAGGTGCCTCGGAAGAGCCTATTTATGAGCAACAGTCTGGTTAACTAATGCAGTGAAAACCTTCTCCAGAACAGAAGGCTGCTGCGTGTGCTCACAAACTCCTGTAGTCCTGGTACTTGAGAAGATGACACAGGACAACTGTAAGCTCAAGGCCAGCTTGGGCTCTTCGTGAGAACTTGACTCAAGAAAAAGTGACTGAGTAAGCAAGAGCAGAGTAAGAAACAGGTAACTCAAATAGCATTAAGTGTTCGTGGAACAATTTGAAACCCACCACTTAGCTGCCTACCAACTCTTCAACAGTCCAGTACCTGATGAGGACTTCCTCTCGATCTGACCTCACTAGTGGAACGCACGCTCTGCACACACTGACTCTGCTTCCCTCTGAGGGTGCTTGTCAGGGCACTGTTCTCTTCCTGCAGCACACTATGAACCTGGCCTTATTTTGCTGAGCTCCCCAGGAAGCTGGACAGAGGCCAGCCTGATTCCATTCTCAAGACACTAGAGAGCAAGCACCATGGCACTCGGTCCTCTCCCCAACTACTGCCTCCAGAATGACCTTCTACAGGAATACTACGAACTTTAGTCTGAATTAGCCTATGATATAATGACTACCATGGCTTTTCTTTATGTGTATGTGTCTGTGTGTGGGGATGTACAGATGTGTGTGGGTACCAGAGGAGGGTGTTGAATCTCCTGGAACTGGAGTTACAGGTAGTTGTGAGCTGCCATTTAAGTGCTGGGAACAGAACTTGAGTCCTCTGTAAGAGCAGTAAGTAATCTTTTCTAATCAGTTGGTAATTATATGTAGTATGAAAATAAATTGGAAAACTCATAATTAGAAGAAGTTAAGCAAGAGAAACATAGTTAGGGTTGGCTCAGGGAGGCAGCAAATACAGACCTTAAAAATGATTGTAAATGTAGTTAAAGAGAGGGGAAAAAAAAACTTCTAAAACTGGTGCTTTAAAAAAATTTATTTTTTCCTTTTGGTCAGTGGCGGTGGCAGCACAGGCCTTTAATCCCAGTACTAGGGAGGCACAGACAGGTGGCTCTCTGAGTTCAAGGTCACCCTGATCTACAGCGTGAGTTCTTGAAAAACTCCCCGTCCCCCAAAAAGTTTTTTGTTTGTTTGTTTTTGAGACAGATCTCATGGCATAGGGAGGTTGGTCTCAGAGGCACACTCGACCATGCCCAGCGGAGATGACTTCCTCTCCTGGAGAGGGGTTCAGAAGCCGCTCTGTAAAGGTGCTTGGCACAGTAAGAAACCATACAGTTACAGAACAAAAGCAAAGACAAAGGAGAGATCCAGATGGGACTGAGGAGCTGCTCAGCAGGGAAGAGTACTTCCTGTGCAACTGAGACCTGAGGGGAAGGAAGCCCTAGCATCAAGAAGAGACCCGAACATGGCTGTGTGCCTTCTGCAGTAGAACTTCGGGGCAGAGGCAAGTGCCTCTCTCTTGGCTTCAGCCTAGCTTACAATTTGAGTTTCTGCTAATAGTGAGACACTTTGTCTTCAGGCAACAGGGAAGCAGGAGGCTGAGGAAGACACCCAATGTTCTTCTCTGGCATGCACATATACACCCATCATCCATAGAGAATAAAAAACAAACAACAACAATAACAAATGTAGAATTCACAATACGAAGCTATTTGTTTTAGTTTTAGAGTCAACAAACTCTAACAAATTAAAATTGCTTTGAAATGTCCATGCTGTGTGTACATGTGTGGGCAAGCAAGGGGGGTTGTACAGTTGTATAAAGAAAAAGTGTTTATGCATAGAAGGTTCTAACCACCTTGAGAGGCTCTACAGAAGCCTATCAGCCCGCAGCACACATGCTGTGGAAATTAAATCTTTGCAAAAGGTGTTCTTGTTATTTTGAAAACTTCCATTTTCTTTAGTTTTTTAATTAGGCCACAAATTTGGACTCTTATCAGGAGAAAAATGGCTATGCATATATTTAAACATGTTTAACTGCTTAGAAATTGTTCATCTTGTCACTATGTATTCTAGTTTCAGAATGAGAAAGGCATTTAGCTTTTTTGAAGCTTATTCTTTCCAGTACAAATCCACAGACTTTGTTCCCTCTACTTTCACACAACAAACTCCTCTCACTCCCCAGGCTGCCCCTCAGCACTGCACCTCCACCATCACTAGGTCTGCCCATCACTGGTACTGCCCGCCACCTGCTCTGCTTGTCGCCACGTCTGCCCGTCACTGGCTCTGCCCATCAGTGGCACTGCCCTTCACTAGCTCTGCCCAAAATAGCAGGGGAGCGGTTCTACTCAGACACCTATCCTCTGAAATATGTCTATGCTGGATTATTCTTCATGAACACAGAGGCTATCTATTCAGGAGCAGCCTCAGAGACCATATTTGCACAACCGCTCCAGACCAAAGAGAGGTGAAGCAGAGCCAAAGGGGTGAGCCAGGCTTCAGATGATGAAGCTTATTAGAAGCATTAGATGGAAGTATCCTACTCATGTCAGACTCCTGGTCAAGTAAGCATGGGAAGGAAGGGGTTTGCTGGAAATGCAGATGCTTCACCAAACATCAGTCCTCTCCAAGAGACAGAGTTTAAAAACTCAAAGATCTACTGTTCTTTTTTCTTTAAAAGACTTCCTTATTATTATATGTGTGCAGGTCAGGGAACAACTTGTGAAATCAATTCTCACATTCTCACCTTTCACTTTTATGTAAGACCTGAGGACTGAACCCTTTATCAGCTGAGCCATCTCTCTCTAGCCCAGAATTTACTTTGTATTTGCTGCAAAGGAGGGATGCATGGCCTACTTCCTCAGCTAAATCTAACTCTGTCTCTGTTTGGACTGCACGAGGATTCAAACATATCCATCCTCTTCTCCATCAACAGCTGCTAGACTACTGGCTCCCATGTCTATAATGGAACACATTTTACACTTATTTCAGGTGTGTAGTCTAGCTGATTGCACATCTGTACTGTCTTATTTGTTCAGGCTTCCTTGTGTTCTTTGGTGACTCGTACAATCCCACTAACAAGTCTTTTTAGGGGTCAGGGAAAATGTAGGGCATTTGGTACATGAGTAAAACATGACAAGAGTTTCTATTCCTCATCAGTACAATGCAACCTCCCAGACCAAGTCAACCTAAATGATTATGAAAACTGAGTGACAGAATGCTACCCAGTGCACATGTGCACTCTTCCTGTCATCAGGGGAAGATGTACTTTACTTTAAAATTATGTGAAAGAAAACTCTCACAAATGTTAACATTCAGTACTATATGGGAATATCTGCTTCTCAGCTAAAACTTACCACAATTCCCTGACAGCTTGGGCTTAATGTGGCCTGGATTCCTCTACGCAAGCATGTTGTCCATGCAGATAGAATTAGGCTACACAGTGAGACTCTGTCTCTGTAGGGAGACAGACCCACAAGTGTGTATTTGGATCTGTCTACCATTTCAAAGGCCGTATCTTTTCTCCTGTGCCAGAGTTGAGTCCTTAAACACATCTAAATTATGTGTGGGGACCTACAAGGAGGCACAGGATAAGAACTTTCGTTTTTGAAGATAAAGTTGAATGTTCTCCATTGAGTATGATAGATAATAACCAAAAAAGGAAAGAAAATAAAAACTAAGATTGCCCACTACAGTCAACTAACTGTCGGAGACAGGGTGTTATAGCTGCGGCCATCCTTCATCTTCTGAGGGCTGAGATTACCGGCACTCATCACCACGGCCAGCTGCAGGGACTTTCTGAAGTCTACTCATCTTAAATTAAGCAGATCTGTCCAGCGACAGCAAAGGCAAAGACAGACTGTCAATGGCAATAGCCGTTTTCATTTATCACAAGCCTGTTAATTAATTCATTACTCTGCCAATCAACTGTGAGATCTGTGGAAGTAGGAAAGGGTGGCTTACCGTGCACATGGTTGTCTTTGTGATTTTCAGGGTAAAATCTGAAGAAAACTCCAAGTCTGAGATAGATGTAGTGTGGCAATCTATATGCTTCCCATCAGAAAGGAGAAAGAAAAAGATCAGTAAACATGAATAACAAAGCCTAGCAAATACACAACAACTGCAAATCAGTGTTTCCTAACTTCTAATCACAAGCCATTCTGAGGATTCTTTCCAAACTAAGACATATTAACAGTTAGTTAATGTTTCTTTAAATCAAGTTGGTATCTTCTACTTTGACTTCCTGTAAGCAATAATATCTACAAAGTCACACACTGATCTGTCTGCTAGTCTTGCTGATACACTGAAGACTTCAAATTTAAAACCTAGTGTTCTTTTCTCCACCGAGATCATCTTGCACACCACCCATATCTGCTATGCTCCAGGTTATGAAATTAATCTTCTAGAGGAAAGGGCAAGCTGAAAACACATGCTGGTGAAGGGAAAGATTGTCAGGAAAATTCTTCTCTCAATGTATTTAAATATGCTTGTTAGGTAGTAGGAAAAGCCATAATAATTTAAACAGCAGAAATTAAGATTCATCTTGGAAAAAAACAGCCCATTCCTTTGTCTTCTGCCCTGGCTCAAGCTCTCCAGGTCACTTTGGGAAGGGTTGACAAGTAATAGAATTTATAACCACAGCCTGGGACATCACTCTCTTAACATTCAGGACTACATGGGACATGTAGTTGAAGACAATTGAAGAAAAGTTTTAAAGCAAGTTACAGTGTGAGGGTTTTTAGGTATAGGAAGAATGGGGGAACACAAACGATGCTGAACAGGCAAGTTTGATGTCACAGAGCATCTACTAAACACCCTGGAGATTCAGTCCTAAACCAGCTACATCAACTATTCACAGTAGTTTGAAGACCAGGCAAAAGGGCAGCAGGAGAGCACTCAGCACTCCCTCCCCTACGCTCCCCTAATCTACAACACGGCCAAGGTGGCAGTAACTGTTCCCCTCTGCTCTGACTCAAACAGCTCCACACACCTTCCTACCAGGGTACCAGGGCAGCAGAGCATGGAGCAGGCCCATAGTGGCCATCAGTGCACCAGGGCACCCAGCATCCCCACAGTTAATCAAGCTTGCTTGCCAATGAGTCTCTTTGTGCAGAGAATAGTTATATATTATAAAAGTCATTTACTGGAAGGAGACACTGCCCTAAACCCACAGCTGAAATCTTCACACGCTCCATTATCTACTTAGACAACCAATGTGCTAAGAAATTCAGTGTGACTCCTCACTGCCAAGCCATGGTGAACTCATGTAAAATCGACAGTCACAGCAAACCCATAGGTTAACATGGACAAAAATAAAACACAAAAGGACTTCTTAAGGACTTTTCCATACAGTCGCCCTGCAGTTTCAGGTAAGTTCATGGTAATTAATCTAACGAGGCTGGAAGAAATCTGAGTGAAAAGTTAAGCTGTGACGCATAAGATAGGAATAATGCTCTGTGGGAGCCAGTGTGATGCCAGGTGGTCCCGAGGCAGGTGCCAGCACTGCAGAAGCAGGCCTCTGCCTTCAGGCCAAACTACGTATAAGTGATTCAACCAGCTCCAGGACTTGGATCTGAAGGCTGATAAATGGAATAATGAGAAGTGATTCTAAGCAATGATGGCCCAGAAGCAAGTTTGATCCCATTTTAGACTAAACTAAAATCAGAGGAAGCCCACATGGAAAGTCAGTAAGCAGCCATATCCTTGGATTCAGGCAACTGTGGACTGAAAGTATTACCTTATTTTCACCCGTACTGAGCATGTGCAGGCATCGACCTTCTCCAATGCCCTAAACAAGATGGCCTACTACTTGCAGCACTCACTTGGCAGTAAGTATAAGTGAAGTAAGTGGTAATTTAAAGTGTAGGACAGGATGCGTGCAGGCCACATGCAGACAACTTCCTCATCGTGCCTAAGGGTTTTCTGCACATGTATGGATTGTGACATGTGCAAGGAGTCCTAGCATCAAGCCTCACAGACACAGAGGGAATGTACACACCTACCTTGATACCACAAGGGTCTGAAATAAGAGTCTGGTGATCTACAACTTCCACAACAGCCTCTGGAATAACCGCCCTCTTCATGCAGGACATGTTGAAGCCATAGACGTCATCCCAGAAGGCAATTCTATCAGCATGCTTGCTCACATCACTCACAGCCACTAGGCTGATGGTGCAAATGTCAGGGTAGACTGGAATAAAAAAAGAAATGCTCCTATATGTAGCATCTTCTCTTCACTTAGAGGAAGGTTTTAAATGGCTAAATATAAATATCAAACCTATCTGCACAGACCACTAGCAAGGAGAGATCGATGAAGACAGAGACGAGGAGACAACCAAGTTCCCCAAGTGCCTATAATCATGATGGTAAAATCAGCATCCCGCCGGGCAGTGCTGGCACACGCCTTTAATCCCAGCACTTGGGAGGCAGAGGCAGGCGGATCTCTGTGAGTTCGAGGCCAGCCTGGTCTACAGAGTGAGTTTCAGGAAAGGCTCAAAGCTACACAGAGAAACCTTGTCTCAAAAAAAATATATATTAATATTAAAACTTAAAATATGACAACTTGAAAAACTGTTATTTCATATCTTCCTCCAAAGTACACATAAAGAGACAAACTATCTGGTAAAGTATTTGGCACCAAGGTGGGGTGGATAGCACACTAGAGTTTTCCGGGCAGGTAGAGGCCAGCTCATACTGCACTCTTATTTAATATAAAATGATTGTTAAGTATATGACAGTCTAAACAAAGACTGTGGATACAAATTTCTAACCTCAGAGAGAAACTTCTATTTATTTTGAAACCGGATCTCCTGTAGCCCAGGCTGTCATCAAAAGAGAAAGCATAAAGCATTGTGGATCACCCAGCAAAATCAGCCAAATCAGAAGAGGCTGCAGCAGGGGAAGCAGGCTACCATGTAAGGATAGAAACCAGCTCAAAAGTGGGGAGAGAAAGAGTGTTCTAGCAGAGTGAGAGTGTGTAGCAGTCACCATTAAGGGGTGGCACTTGCACTCTAACTAGACAGGCAGGAAGACACAAGGCTCAATGGGGTCTCTGTAAACCACTGCAGTGAACTGGACTTTATTTTAAGAATGGTAACTCAGTGAAAATTTTACCTATGGTAGCACTGTGATCAGATTTCAGTGATCTGAACTGGTTTAGAACAATCATTTGAAGTGCTATGTGAAGACTGACTAGGAGGAAAACAGACAAGTTCAGAAACATGTAATGAGTCGGTGGTGAAAACCAGGCCGGTGGCTACAGCGTGAAGAAGAAATGGATCTGATAGACAGATGGGAGGTAGAACTCGGGAAAGACCGGCCGAGATGAGGAGGAATTGGGAACAGTGCTCGGCTTTAGCAGCTGAGCAGACTGTCAACTGTAAAGGGCATCGATAGGAACAGATCCAGGAGGAATGAGTGCATTGCTTCCGGCACTGATGAAAACGTCAATGAATGAAACCTAAGGTGTGGAATTATCTGGGTCTAAGATACAAACTGAAGACTATGAACATGCAAACAAAAACATACACAGCAGAAGCCTCTAAGACCAGCTATGTCACCAGCACCAGAATTTATGGCACAGGAGAAGTAGCAAAAGGGGCTGAGAGGGGACAGAGAAGGAAGAGAGCCAAGAGGGCACTGAGGGGTGGTGGGAAATGGTTTAGAAGAACTAGAAAAAATGCTGTGGGACAGTAAAGGTCGTTATGACACAGCACATAGCTCCTTTCTGGTGACTAACGTGGAAATGAACTTTTCCTATGAATATCTCAAGCATCAATTTTTAGGGAATTAATGAATCAAAAAAAAAAAAAAGAGTCAGTTGTATGTTCCCATATCCCATATCAAATGACAACCATAAAGTAACCACAGAAATGGTCCCTGGTCAGCAGCCAATCTTCAGACTCAGATCACCTTCTACTTCACCTTTAAAAACTGTATTAGTCAAAGCTCTAAGTTATCTTTAAAATAAAGGCCAGGATAAGATCTGCATCAAAGCAGGACACGGGCCCTAATGCTGCCTCACAGTTCAGCCTCTGCAGTCATCCTTAAGAGCCATGCACAAGAGTGTGCTGGCTATCCAGTGCCCGGGGCTCAGGGTCATGCTCTCCTCCTCCAGTAGCATGCCAAGCTCTCTGGCTGGTTCCAGTCTGAGGAATGCAAATTTGTTCCTGGGATGCTAACAACAGACCCACCATAGGCACTACAGTCAGTTCTCTGAGCCACATCCTTAACATCAAACAAAGACAAGAACTGATCTTGAGGCAGTGCAGAGGGGCAGTACTGGGTATCTCAGTAGCTTCCTCTACCCTTTATAATATCTGTGCCACAGCTGCAGCTTTCTGCATATGGCCTGAGGAACACAGGAAGGCAGTTAGGCCAGCAGACATCTTTTGTAAAGTCAACACTTTAGGTTTTGGAAGCCATTTGTTTTTGTTGAAATGACCACTTTCTGAGGTTACTATGAAAGCAGAATGGCTGTGTTCAATAAAGCCTTGTCCATAAGTCAGGCAGTGGGTCAGACCCAGAGACCCTGCCAGAGAAAAGAGGGAAGACAATGATGGTAAGATTTACCACAGTGATTAACTGTTACTATTAGAAGTACCACTGCTCCTGTAGTTCACGGGAACTAAATGTACTGCAGCATTGTATAGGACAGGGACAGTCATATGACGTACTGCAGTTCACGGGCAGTTCAGAACATGATAAAAAATCCTCACTGAGTCTGGTGTTTGTTTTTAATGCCATCATTGAGTCTGGCAAACCACAGGCCATGCATCAATCCAGTCTGCTGCATGGGTCTGTAAACCCACTGTAAGTCCTCTGCACTAGCCTGCTTACCCATCATCCACAGCTGCACTCTGCTACCATGCCAGAGCTAGAGAGAGGGCAGGGATGTGGCCGGTCACACTGACAATGCAACCTGGAACCCGGCCAAAAGCCGCTGATCTGCCACCCTACAAGCTGTGTGGTGTGCTAGGACACCATGGAGAACAAAGATGGCCCCTTCGTAAGGAAAACCGTGGCTGACTGCAAGCCAGGTTTAGAGAAAAAAAATCAAGAGCAGAATGGTTCTTCTTCTCCAAGTGTTGAGGCATAGTTTTTAAGCTAATTATATTTCAAAGATATAAAATTCCTAGTTTTTATTTTTGAACTCAGAAATGATTTTTCATCTCTCAGAAAGACATGAATATTCATAAAGGTTTGTAATCAGTGCTAGAGGTCAATGGGGTTCAGCATCCACCTTGGCACAGCTGCCTAAATCTTGGGCCACCTGCCAGAACTCCACTAACCCTTTACCTTCACAGTCTCACACATTTGTCACTTTTTTTTTGTCAGATAGAAGCTATAATTGAATAATTATGCCTGCTTGTAGGTGAAATCGGCCAAGTGCTGATTGGACAAAAGCAGCCAGTTACTAGACCATTTATAAATCCATGGCTCTGACATCTGTGTCCTTCTCGATTCACTGCCCAGAATTCATCTGTCACTGGAACGGCTCACGAGGTGAGCAGACCAAGATGGGAACTCCTTCATCCCTAGGGAAGACCTCACAAACTTCTAGGCCCTAAAGGCTGAGACTGAGGCATATGAGAATACAATTCCCACAAAACACCGGCACACAGGAGTCAAAGCACTGCAAACACTCACCAATTCACAGAGCACGAGTAACTTAGAAATTAAATATTCATTTGGGAACTAGACCTATTCCTCCATAGTACCTTATAAATAGTGATCAGCTCCATTAAAGTTAGGTAGACTTAATATGTAGATGGACTATGCTTTGAAAAACTATGCACTAAAAAAAGTAAACATTATCAGGATATTTCTAGGAAAAAAAATAATAACAAAGGTGGCAAAAATCTGTAAAATACAGAAACAGCACAGGAAACTTTGAGCCCCGGAAATCAACCTCCACGGCTTCTGTGTGATGTCATCTATGTACAAGTATGACACTCAATGTGCTGGACGAAGGTGCCATGTTCAAACCCATTTCACCACTAAGGCACAAGCCAATGCTGCTCTTGTTTCCAGCAAGAATACAGGAGATATAATACATAATGAAAAACCAGACTTTGCAAGGACTGTCTACAGCTGGGCTTTTAAAAACAGGAGACTGAAGGGACGGAGGTAAGTAACGCCAGGAGAAGACAACCAGGCAGCTGACACGCAAGTCTTGAGGTCTGCCCACAGACACCACGGACTTCCCCCTGCATGCCCGCCCACCGCCTTGCTCTTCAAATGCTAGAACTCCACCCTTCTAAAGCAAATGAGCACTTGGTAGAAGGCAAAGGAGAAAGAGCAAGTACATTGTAACTATTAATAAAGCTAAGTGAGCAAAGCAAAGATGTATGGGCTTGCTCACTCTGCTGAGTGGCTGGTGACAGGACAGAGAGTAAGGTGAAGAGCAAACAGCCCAGCGGCTATGAGAACAGGAGGCATCAAGGGAAGGATGCTCGTGAGGTAGCTTCTGGTGTGCACAGGTCCAGGGCAGGGCTGAGGCTGCTGGCTGTGTTCCTATGCTCTATTTTGCTGCTCCTCAGGAGGCACACGGCAGAAGCGCTTTCTTCAGTCTAAAGGAGGCCAGGCAGGTAGGTGAGGGAGGCTCTGGTAAAGGGGTACAGAGACAGTGTCATCTCCAGGGCACCTACACAGCATAATGTGTCAGTCACAGGTAGGAGCCTCCATTCTGAAGCCCACAGGTCTGGCAAAGCAACAGTTTCTGGCTGCATCATTTCCCAGTTTTCACACTTTGTAGCATTCCTGCCCTTTAGTAAATCCTTTTTCCACTGACTGGGGTGGATTTCTGTTTCCTGCAACAAGTCCTCTCACCACATTTGCTATAAAGAGAAGAAGCACTGAAAAAAAAGAAAACAAAAAAACTCTGCCTCTGATTGTGTTCAAAAGCCTCCTCCACGAAGCCTGAGCATCTATATTTTAACGAAAAGCCCCTGGTCCTTGTAAAATGAATCAGAGGCGGTGAGCTGGAACAGGCTGCTATCCCTCCTACTTGGAAGTGAATAAAAGCCTGAAAGAGCCCAAAATGCATCTGGGATCTTAGCATGAGGGGACCTGCTTTCACAGTCCAGGACAGTATAATGACAAACAGCAAAAACAATTCCTTCCTGATAGAGGAAGATCAATAGCTTCTCAACTTTATTCTGCAAAAAATGATTTTAGAAACTCTTGCTGATTTTGAGTGAATTACTTCTCCATGTTATTAGCAGATGCAATTTCAATCTCTTCCGCTCCTGAGCATGTCAGCTTTGATTTCTCAGTGGTGGCTGGGTTTTCACACTGGAACTGACTGGCTTTGCCCTGCTGTAATTAGTAGACATTTTACAGAGGATCTTTGAAAGCAGGTAAACATCTCATTCTTCAAGTTGTGGTTATTTGTCATTTGTATTTGAAAGGACATTCCATTTCTTGTTTTTAATCAGGGTTATAGGTAAGAAAAGGAAGCATAGGTACAGAAGGGTAGCATTAAAACTCTTTGCAAACGGCTGGATTGTTTACACAGGAAATCCTTTTAGAAATAACCACCAAGCTCAGCAATACCATAGGACATAAGCTTAATAAAGCAAAGCATTTCTATGTTCTATGCCACAGGCAGGCAACTGAAAAACAGTACAGAGCTTTGCCCCTGCAAGGACAGCATTGTAAACTCACAGGGGGCTCAATGCAAAGAGGCTGGTTATTTTCTAACTGTCCTATTCATTAGAAGCCATTTTAATTTCAAGTTTTTTTGTTTTTTTGTTTTTTTTTTTTTGGTTTTTCGAGACAGGGTTTCTCTGTGTAGCTTTGCGCCTCTCCTGGAACTCACTTGGTAGCCCAGGCTGGCCTCGAACTCACAGAGATCCGCCTGGCTCTGCCTCCCGAGTGCTGGGATTAAAGGCGTGCGCCACCACCGCCCGGCAATTTCAAGTCTTTTTAAAGCAATGTGGAGGTGAAAGGAATGAGAAACCCTGTCTCAAAAAGCACGGGAGAGAAACTGCGAAGATGCTCCACATCGAGATCTGGCCTTCATGTTCCCATTTCCTCTCGCCCTTCCCCTTTCCACCCACTGCTTTCTGTCTCTCTTGCTCTGATCCTGAAGTGAATCATGAACTCAATGAACACACTAAAACTTCCAGGAGGAAGTTAAAAGATCCTGTGTGACCTCAAGTAGTATGTCCTCCACTGAGACATGCGTGCAACAGAACAGAGGCGGCACCTTTCAGCTGTCCCCATCCCTTTCTGGGAGCTGTCATTCAACTCTGTCCAGTGCTCCTCTGGCTTTGCTGACTACTTACTGGAGGCTCCACCAATGCTAGAAACTACACTTCCGGTAGAAGCTGGGTGGATTCCCCACTTCAGTCCTTGTGACTCTACTTTAGTAGAGTCTGTCACGTGAGAATTTACAGTCAACTTCATAAAGCATCTATCAGGGCTTCCAAATTTAAGTTCTTAGAAAACTCTTCCCTCAAGCCTAATGTGTCTGCATTCTATCTGACTCACTGGAAAATTACAACGGTCAATCTACTGTCTGGATTAAGCTGTTTGAAGAAGAGTTGTCTTAAGGGTTTACTATGTTGCCCAGGCTGGTCTTGAGCTTCTGGGCCTGAGCATTCTTCATGCCTCAGCCTCCTAAGTGCTGGAACTACAGGAATGTACCACTGAGCCCAGCTGAACCTTACTTTATTTGATCTTTTTTTTCCTTTAAGGCAAGGGCTTATGTTGCCCAGGACAGCCTCCAACTCAGTGAACAGCTGAAGCTGGCCTTGAACTCCTGATCTTCCTGCTTCCATCTCACAAGTGCTGGGATTACAGGTGTAAGCCACCATGCTTGGCTTTGTTTTATTTTTAAATAAATTTTATTTTAATTTTCTATTAAAAACAATTTCCCGCACTGTAAGAGGTACTAGTCACATATGTGGTTCTAACCAGATTTTCAATTTTCTTCAGCTTGTCTTCCACACAGGAAGCAGCAACAGCTGCTTTTATTGTCTAGACTTCAGGGTACACTTTCATATATGGCAGGGCTCTTCCTCCTGTCTCCACTACCCCAGGGTCTTGCTAATTTGGTGGTTTCTTGCCATTCCTGTTTACTTTTCCACACCAATTTCATAATCAGCTTAAATTAAAGACAAACCTGTTGGTTGGGACAGCAGTACAAACTTAGAAATGCTACTGTATAATTTTTAACATCAAAAAAGGGAAAAATATACATAATTCTCATCTACAATTAAAACAATTGTTAGTAGTTTTGGATTTCATCATAGTCTGCAGTAAGTTTGGGCGAAGTGACATCTTCCGGAATGAATTCTCTTTATCCAAGAACTTAGTACTTCTTTACATTGATTTAGGTCTTCTTCATGGGAGAGAGGAGGAGACAGATGAACTTACACTCACATCATGGACCCATAATACTGACACCCCATTCCACAATACAATCATTCTTTCTAAAGTTCTTCCATTACGATTGCTTCATAAGGATTCCCTTAAGAAAAACATAAAGTAACACTTCACAATACACATGAGCATTTGATGGCAATATTTGTTCATTTCATGTTGCTCATATTTTACTTATTTTTCTCCTAATTATATTAACAAATAGCATTCCACAGCACTGCTCAGGCGGTTAAATGCCGATTCTTCTGACTATGCCCCCAGATGATCCTAATGTTAATCAGTTCTATGAAAATATGGACTGAGCTAGAATCATTAACCTCCCGTTTATCCCTCCAGCTGCCACAGTCCCATGGCTGTGGGCCTAATGCATCTCACTGAGCACTCGATTTAAATGCATTAGCTGCTGTCAGTTCTTCAGTGAGATCAATGGACACCACTGGAGAGGTATGAAGAGGGAGGGGGTGGGGTTCTCTAGAACCCCACAGCAAGAGTCAGCTGCTTTAAATGCATTTTAATAGGGAAATCAAGGTTTAGTGAAAAGAACATGAACATTGATTAGGTCAGGCAGATATGAGTTTAAAAACAAGAAAAATGCAGGCTTGGCTGCCTAATGGTGTCATCTTCCTGGACACCTTTGATACTGTTCCCCAAATCTCAAAGGGCTGTGGTAAAGATTATGTATGACAAAAGCAAGGGTGATGGTGACGACCACTAGAGAGTCATCCAGTGATATTATTTCCTTCAGTCACTAAAAAGCCCACAATAATCAAAGATGCAGAGATTGTTTCAGGGTAAGACATCTAAAATTCTAGCCAGGTTCATAGCAGAGATCAAGCACTACTTTAAAGTGAATGCAGGGACCATATGACAAGTGCCCCTTGAGAAGGAAGGAATACACAGCGTGCTACTAGAGTGCTCCACTGTCTGGAGGACCTGTCCTGGCTCTCCTGGTTTGGCCTGAGGACTTTCAACTGTGCTGTAACAGTCTATACAGCTGCAGGGTACTGTGGGCAGGAGGCCTGAGCAAGAGCATACTCCCTGTTCTTACGGACACCAGGCATCCACGCACAAGGCTGGGAAGTGCACTTCCGCCCGAAGATGCAACCAGAACACTACTTCCCCACAGACATGGAACAAAGTTGAGACGGATCTGCTTAGCATAGATTCACCTTTCTAGCCACCAAAACTAAACCACAGAGTGAAGGAGCTTTTAAGTTAGTGAGGCAAGGGAAAATTGCTATTAAAGCCAATAGTCTTCAACCTAGTATGAAACATGCTGTTGGCCTCTGGCTAAGATTAAGTGTGAAAAACAGGAACCAAATGACATAAGAATTAAAATTGCGGGCTGGAGAGATGGCTCAGTGGTTGGGAGCACCGACTGCTCTTCCAGAGGTCCTGAGTTCAATTCCCAGCAACCACATGGTGGCTCACAACCACTTGTAATGAGATCTGGTGCCCTCTTCCGACCTGCAGGGACACATGCAGACAGAACACTGTATACATAATAAATAAATAAATCTTAAAAAAAAAAAAAAGAATTAAAATTGCAAAGATGCTTCTGACCCATTTGCATACTAAAAGCTTCCCACACCTAGTCCTTATTTTTCTATTAAACAAGCAAGCTAACAAACAATAAAAACCTAGTAAAAGATGTCCTAAGAAACCATGACCTTGGAGTCCCCATATCTTAAGTAACCAAGGCTCCTTCCAATGGGAACATCTCTCATTTCTACTGAAACTCTCTCAGGTATGCACAGTGTGCTTGAAATTCAGAAGTTCATTTGGTTGCACCACACTGAAATCAGATTAAAACTGAAATATCCTACTTACCTGATCCTCCTTTTGCCAAGTATTTGCTCTTTGCATAAAGGACAGAATCCAACATCGACTCGAAAAGAAGAAAATAGCCCTGTGCAGAAAGGAAATGCTGAGCATCAGGAACGGGCACGGTTGCAAGAGACCCAGTGGCCCCCGATGGCCCTGTCACCAAGTACTTTCTTCCTTGTCATGCAACTCTGCCAGTCACTGTATTTTCTATACAGTGAGCACTGGAAGGCCAGGCCTGGGTGTGAGGTAGACCTAGCGGGTTCAATCAGGAGCACATACAAAATTTGCATCTGCAACCACTTTTCAGCCTACTGTTTCTTCCCCAGTGGAAGGGAAACTTCAGGCAGAAACTTTTTATCAGCCCCGCAACTCCATGGAATGTTGCAAGATTAATTGGGAGTAATGGTCCTGATAGATTTTGTCTTCTGTGGGGATCTGCCACACTGGACACCTTCAGTATCACATCGTGGGTGAGGGTGGAAACAACATTGGTGTCCACTGAGCAGAGCCACGACATGTTACCACACATCCTGCCATGCACATGACAGCCCACCACGGAAGTGCCACCTGACCAGTGACTGAGGCAGAGAACCTGGGCATAAAGTGCCATCTCCCAAAGCACTGTCTAGAGAGCGTTCTTTGGTGTGCATACAGACAGCACTAACTGGACTCAGTGGGTCACTAAAAAGGGAGGAGGGGGAGCCAGAGACTGGGAGGGATGTCAGAGGGGTAGATATGTCTAAACAGATTGTAGCTATGTACTGCCCAGAATTTTTTTAAAAAATCAAGAAGCAAGAGGAACATTCATTCATCCAAGAGGTTCACAGGGCACACTCACACACTAGAAGCTCTGGAGAGAATAGGGCTGCTGCCCATACTCTGAGCAAGTGTCATACTTTTCCACCGGAGTTCGTCTGCTACCTGCCATGCACTAGCTCAAGGAGCAGGACCCTAGTGTAACCAGGGAATGGCGGTGAATCCTTCCCAGGGAAAGGGTAATGAAATACACAGGGAAAGGAGACACTCTTGGGGGTCCTAAAAAGGCCACATTCTATTAACACACTACACAGTATGTACTATGCAGACAGCCATATCCCTCAGCATCAGGGAGAGTGTGAGCTACACCTTCACATCAGCGCTCCAGCTGAAGCTGTTTTCTCAGCTGTTCCTTGGTTCTGTGCACACATTATTTTCTGGTGGGATAAACATGTGAACAAATGGAACAAAAAGGCAGCAAACCCGGAACTGTTCTCACAGGTGAGTGACCCACCTGAACTCATGGAAACAGGTCTGATGACTGCCTCTGCCTTGGATCAACCTCCTCCCGACAAACTCACTGATAAGAAACTATCCAGGCACCCATGCTGAGTTGCAGATGTGTTTACACCATGGAAACTATGGCTCAGGTGAAATTCCTGAACAAGTATGTCCATCATATGCTAAACACTACACACTAGCATTCTTTAATATGCCCTGTGTGTCCCAGGAACAGGGGATGTGTAGAATTCCACCAATGAATATTTACCAGTTCATACAGATCTACACACAGAAATGCTTGTAAATGGGCATCTTTGCATTGAGTAAAGTGAATCATAATTTGTGTCAAGGAATTATTAAAAGTGGGTTACCCCAGAAATAGAAAGATCACCTGAAGTCGGGCATGGGTGGCAAATGCCTTTAATCCCAGCACTAGGAAGGCAGAGGCAGGTGGGCCTCTCAGTTCAAGGCCAGTCTGGTCTACAGAGTAAGTTACAGGACAGCCAGGCCTACGCAGAGAAACAATGTCTTGAAAAACCAAAATCAAAATAATTTTAAAAGTTAAAAAAGAAAGAAAATTAAAAAAAAAACAACAACTGAAGGCCTGGAGCTTGGAAAGATGACTTAGCAGTTAAGAGTACTGGCTGTTCTTCCACAGTACTGGGCTTGGTTCCCAGCACCTACATGGTTGCTCACAACCATCTGTAACTCCAGTTTCAGGGGGATCCAATGCCCTCTTCTGGCACCAGTCACGCATGTGGGGCACAGACATATGGTCAGAACACGATCAAAAGAATGACCCATGGTGAACAGAGCCTTGGGGAACTGTGAGAGGCTCCAGGAAAAGAGGCAGAGGGCCTTTTATCTCAGGTACATTGTATTCCCTGGACTGTTCTTGGATGTGATTTCATGCCTCTTGTGACAAACATTTACATTCAATTCATAAGACATGTTTATTTTTGTTGGATGTCAGATCATAGCTATAGAACCCAACCTGGTCATTATATCCTGAATTTGGATACGGCCTCTGCTTTGCTTTCCTGCTTTCCTACATATAATCTATACTATGTACCAGACAACTGGGCTTAAATTGGTCTGTGCTGAGAAAGCTCTGGGAAAGAGCTGCTCTGTTCATGTTTAGTATGTGCTTACTGACATTTAGTACATGTTTTTCTGAACTCAAACAACCTTCCTTGGATCACTGCTTTCTTTGTTACATTCGTGTATAAAAGTATACTGAAACTGAAGTGAGGTTATCTACAGCATTAGACTGTAGCCCACCCCATTCTTTCAGGTCCTCAGATGCCAGGTTCAGCAGACAAGATCTGCACAGGACAACGGAAGTCGACACATACATTCAGACAAAAAATTCATACACAAAGCCTGCCTATGGGTAACACTACTCACAATGGATTGGTCTTTCCAAATCAATTATAAACTAAGAAAATGCCTCACAGGCTTGCCCACAGGCCAATTTGGTGGGATCATTTTCTCAATCTAGGTGCCTTCTTGTAAAAGGACTGTGTCAAGTTGACATAAAACTAGCTAATACCCTCAATACGTTTTTTTGAATTATTCATTTAATTAAACTAAACGAGAAAATATAAAACCTCTCAAAATGCCTTTATAATTTATAACTAAGAAATACAATTTTAAGCACAATAAAAATGATTTGCTCAAACTATCCAAATCAGTTCCAATTTCAACTCTGAGGATCTCCCGCAGAGTAACCAAGGGATGTAACTACTCATGCATAAACACCCTCCATAGATGCTGGATCTCTGCTCCCCAGTTTCCACCCAGATGTTACTGGTCAGAGACTGCCAAAAGCAACGAAGAATTCCATCAGTTCATACACAGGCCTAGGCATAGCACCTGGCACTCATGGAGACCAACATGTCTGACACAGACTCAGTGGTGATGGGCTTTGATCAGGGATGCAGGGACAGAGAGAAACAGCTACAGTAAGTCAGTTCTTCCCAGTTCCTCCTCCTCTCCTCCCTTCATGGCTCTCTCTGATCAGGGTTTCCATTCTAATGCAAGATTCTGCCCCCACATAAGCTTCTATTATATCAAAGTCCTTGGTAAACCCTAAGTTACAGAACAGGGGAGTTGGCTGGGTGTGGTGGAATGCACCTTTAATTCCAGCACTCAGGAGGATCTTTGTAAGTTTGAGACCATCTTGGTATACACAATGAGTTCCAGGACAGCCAGGAATACATAAAGAGACACCACCACCACCACCCCACACACAAAAAAAACCCCAACAAACCCCCCCCCAAAAAAAACCAATAACCAAACAAAAAACAGAGGCGCCAGCCAGTCAATGGGAAAACATCCCCTCAAACAACAAATCATACATGTCACAGCTGGGAGCTTTGGTACACTACCGAAGACGCAGCTTGACAAGTTCACTGGTAACTGGTTATCCTGCTATTCAGGTAATTGCTCAATTGTTAATCCATTTAATTGGATTTTTCCAATGTCACTAAGTATGCTCTCTTCTTTGTCGTTCATCCACATCTATTTCCTTGATTATTTTGTCTCAGTCAATCATAAATAGCCCTACAACGTAAGCTCCAAGAAGTTCAAGCACATGGCCCACATTGTCTGGAACAGCAAGTTCTGAATGAGCAACAGCATGTAACAAGTGTGTATCCACACTGATAAAATGAAGGAGGCTTGCTCTGAAACGGCACAAAATAAAGTTAGTTATTTAAAGTGATAGTTTCTTTGTTAAAACTAAAACTGCTGAGTACTAAGAACGGTGCTGACTGTGCTTTATAGAGAACGTCATTTAATTATCTCACAGAATACACTTGTCACTGCCATCACCTCATGAAGAAACCAAGGCTTAGAAATAAGCTTAAGCCTAAAAAAAAAAAAAAAATCCAGTCACACAAACAGTGACTGAACTAAAGCAGAATGTGAACCTGGTCTGATGACAGAAGCCACGGTCTGAATTTCTATTTGATTTGCTTGACTGGAAGATTACATATTTGTATTAGGATGACATGGGTACTGCAGGATTCAGGGATTCTGAAATGAAAAAGTTCCCACAGAACATGTTCAATGGGATCAGAATTTTAAACCATGTGAATCAGAATACTTCAGAGTGGCATCTTAGTGAGCAACTGAAACACTAGCGTGAAAGATTACATGACATGTAGATTATATGTAGAATTAATACATGACACTGAGAAAAATTAATTAATACATCTCATTAAAAGTAAGTGGGTGACTAACCAGGGCTCACAGGGGCTCGAAGAGACTGAACCAACAATCAGGGAGCCTGTTTGGGTCTGAGCTAGGTCCTCTGTATATATACTATGGTTGTTCCTGTGGGACTCCTAACAGTGAGATAGGGCTGTCTCTGACTCTTTTGCCTGCTTTTGGGACCCTTTTCCTCCTACTGGGTTGCCTCATCCAGCCTTAATATGAGGGTTTGTGCCTAGTCTTATTGTAGCTTGTTATGCTGTGTTTGGTGGATATCCCTGAGAGGCCTGCCCTTTTCTGAAGGCAAACAGAGTGGACATGGGGGCAAAGGGAGGGGCTTGGGGCTGGGATGAGAGGAGGAAGGAGAAACTGAAGTCGGGATGTAATATATGAGAGAAGAATAAAAAAAAGTGGGTGAAGATGGTGTATGAACTGTTAACAGCTACTGTCCTTCTTAACTTCCCAGTTTGCTGACTTCATTCTACTAAAGACTTCCAATGTGACTAAACAGCCTTTAACTTGCTGGGAACTGTCCTTGGTTCTGAATCAAGTCATTTATTACTGATACCAGAAAGCTTTGCACCTAACGCCCCAATCATCTGTGGTGCA